AAATTTATAGGTGGCCAACACACCCATGCGGAGAAATATAGTGTTTTCGCATGTTAGCAACATATTCACGTGGAAAAGAAAGGTCGAAAGCCCGTAGTTGGAAGCGTACATACCGCAATGCTAAATTTCGAAATAGCCTGCACCACTGCTACGGAAGTAAAGGAAAAGAGAAAAATGAACATGCCTACTAATCAGTGGCGTACCGAGGAGGGAGGCGGAGGGGGCGCGCCCCCCCCCCCAAGAATGGGTCGCGAAATTTTTGAAAGTTTATTTATTTATTTTGTACGCCAGGAGGCGCGCTTCAATCCAACAACTCAGATCAGAACAGGGTGTAAAACGACAAATCAATAGAACACAGAAAAGAAAGAAAAAAAAAACCAGCAAAGGAACAATCGTATTGAAATGAATACGTCATCCAGATCTTGTCTAACCTTTGCACTCCCTGGAGGAAAGAGATACATAAAAGAAACGTTGACCAGCAGATTCCCTCTTCGCCCGTCAGCCCGATCAGGCATCTCAAGCCGTGGGGACAGAGCGGAGGCCCGGCGACCGGCTATACTGGCGCCCCCGCCAGATAAGCCAAAACGGGTGTACTGGCAGGGGGCTGCCAGTACCGCCGCTCACCGAAACCCCCGCCCCTCCCCACGAACCTGCCATGACAGACCGGAGTGGCGGAAGAAGACAACACAACGCCCCAGATACTAGTATTACCGCCAGTGTAGTGCAACGGCCAGAAACAACCCGAAACAAAAAGACTTCAGAGAACCTGACTGGAGGTACTAGATGAGGTAATAAAAATTGAGAAAAGCTATCTGAAAAAAGGTACACCCGGAGTTGAGAAGCTCTGGAAAGACACGAGAGAGCTAGGAAAACCTACAAAGGTAGCCTGTGCACGTTGCTGCAGTGCAGGAAAGAAACAGTCAGAACCAAAAGCGAGTGAAAAGAAAAGACAAGAACAGCAACAAATGAATTCATTCCACGTCACGTATGCCTAGCACTTGTAGAATGTCCATTTTTCGGATGGCAATTTTGAAGTGTGCTGAATTTTTAAGGCATAAAAGAGTAGTAGGCAAACGTTCCAGCCATTTGGCGACTCTGAAAAAGAAGGAACTCGTACACCTCAGACGATTTGCTCTCGGTAGCTTGAGACGAAAGGCAAAACCGCCATGCCGTCCGTAAACCGGACGGAACGCCCAATAGTTTGAGGGCTTTAAACGAAGTTCACCTTTGAGAATCTTATAGGCTAAAATCAAGTCAGCTTCTACCCTTCTGTAAAAAAGACTCTTGAGGTTCAACTCGCGCAGGCGAACTTTATATGGGGGAAGACCCTGCGGATAGCTTGGGTCTGGAAAGACTCGGTAGTAGAGTACTCTGGTAAAAGTCCTCTGCACACTTTCAATTTTGTTAATATCCTTTGAGCGAAAAGGACTCCACACAGGGCCGCAGTATTCAACCAGTGGCAAAACGAACATTTTGAAAAGTTTGATCCAAAGAAAAGGATCCGAACTCGAAACATTTCTAAAAAGACAGTGCAAAACCCTCAAGCCCTTGGCCGCCACCGCGTCAATATGGCTCTCAAAGTTCAAACCATTGCCGACTAGCACGCCAAGATCACGAACTTCCCTGCTCACCAACATATCACCTAGCTCATTGTTATAAACGTTCAGTGAAAGCGATCCTATGGGGAGATGCTGACTTTTACGAAAATTGACTTTGAGATGCCAAAAATTCGTCCACTGTAACATACGTTCGACAGATTTCGTCAAAGCCTGCTGAACTGCTTCTTTTTCTGTTTCACTATAGATTGCAGTGACTTTGATGTCATCCGCGTACGCATGCACAAAAATCCTCGTATCCGTTTTGAGAAAAGCAGGTAAATCATGTGTGTATATAAGAAAAAGTATAGGCGACAAAATCCCTCCCTGTGGAACGCCCGATAGGCATTCCCTAGGGAAGGAAAAGTCATGAGAGAAGCGCACTATCATCTTTCTATCCTCAAGATAGGATCGAAACCAATCCAGTAAACTGCCCTCTATGCCTATACACCGCAATCTCTCCACAAGGCATACATGACAAACGGTATCAAAGGCTTTGCTAAGATCGAAGTAAACTACATCTACCCCTTTCCCTTCACCTAATGCCTTGTTCCAACGGAAAGAACAATCTACCAACTGTGAACAGGTGGAAGATCCTGCTAGGAATCCATGTTGTTCTATGGGAATGAGATTTAGTTACTTATATGGGTTATAAAAATGTGTAAGTGACTTCCCCCTCCGAGCCGAAATCCTGGGTACGCCACTGCTACTAATATTTTATCATCGCTCTTCTAGGGAATGATTTACGTAGTAAATTAAGAAAATATTAGAATGCGAAGAAACAGAGCGATGATAAAATTTACAGGGATGATTAACATTCAATCTGGCACGCATGCTAAACATAAATTGACGGATTATATAATGTTCACACAGAGGAAAACCAATCACTTATATCTGGATGCATTATTCGAAGTGATTTCCTTTGGGTACGTTGAAGTAGACATTTTCTTGCACAAAAAACGTGCCCAGCGATTCCGTAATATCGAAGATCGCATTTTCTGCTTGCTCCATGTCATAGACACGAGCTTTCAAAGCGATAGATTGTCGCATGCTGAAACAAAAAAACATTGCTAGGTCAAGACCTCAAGTTTAGAAAACTCGGTATTATGCCAGACGATATAGACTAAACTAGGTCCGTACTCCAACATTAGCTGTTTCCAGAAAGCAACAGCTGATGTCAGAAAAAGAAAAGAAAAACCAAGAAAAAGAAAGTAAAGGTTTACCGTGGAGCGGCAAGCCGGCGACGACGAGGAGATGGAACGACCATTCAAAAGATGAAGATTGCCGCGTTTTCCAATCTGCAGAAACATTGCACGGGATGCGTTTTACAGTGACGAAATTAACGGCGCAAAAACGGCGATCGGTCTTCGGCACATGGGTAAAATTAACCACTGATAACTTTTTCGAAAGGTGTTGAAAATGGATAAAATTTTGGCTGTGGGAAAAGGAAGGATGAATCAAAAGTTTGAGTGGAAAAGTGGAAAGTTTTGAGTCCTTTGAATGTAAGTTAATCGGGTCAGGCGCAACCCCTCAAAAGCTCAGGCGGCCTGAGCTTTTGAGGGGTTGCGCCTGACCCGATTAACTTCATCTCAAAATGAACTTTTCTAAATAAGTCTTATGTTATTCATTAGCACAGAACTCGTAAATCCCTTATTAGGTGTGCGAAGCAGATTCATCTTGTTTTGGCTTTTTAGGAGCTCATGCAGTGAATCCAGTCGAGCTGAAAAATGCCATTGTCGAAATTTTTATGGGGCTTATAGAACCATTACTTTGAAGTGGTTTGAGACGAAATTGATAGGGTATATTAGTGACGAGTAATACTTTGTAACAAGTGAAAAGGTTGACTTTTGTGATCGCTGAAATCAAGTTAATCATGCTTGAAAATAGCGCTTTCCATACATTAGAGAAGATGGAAAATTGTGATAGGAAATTATATAAAGGGTCCACAAAGGGTCATTTTGCATCCTGATTACGAAAATAGCCTTCACTTCGCTGGTATGAGACCTGGTGGGGTTACGGTAGGTATACGGTAGGTTGGGAAGGTCCAGTCAGATACGGTAGGTATACGGTAGGTTGGGAAGGTCTAGTCAGATCAATCAAACTCTGCTGTTTTTGTACCTTTCCAATGCACTGACAACAAATTTTATTGCAGAAGAACTCGCCAAAATGTCTATCTTTTCCGTCGGATCACTCACAAAACTAGAATGAAGAAATATTTTATTACGCAATCAGTGTTAATGTATTTAATCCTTTATTTTTCTTTACTAGCTCCAACTTCACAAAAATCAAGCAATGAGTTTGTTCATATACAAAACCATGACTTTTGTAATTGAATCCCTTGTGCAGATCAGAAAAGAGTTCATTCACTGTTTCTTACTCAGTAATTTTCCCATCATAACTAAAATAACCGGAACTTAATAAAGGCAAACCCCGGTAATGAAGAGATATGAATTCCTTACCAGTGCACTTGCAAAAGAAGTGCTGCTTTTCATATATCGTTGATACAAAACACGCAAAGACTGGGCGCCATTGCGTTCGACCAAAATAACTGATGCTTGGGAGAGGCAGCAGGTGGTAAGAGGAACGAAAGAGCTTTTGATCACAGAGACGCCGATACGTCCGCAGTCTTTGCGCGCAACGAATCGCCTATAGATTGGACGATTTATGATCTTATCCCCAAATACGACCCCCCAGGTCAGGCGCGCCTGACCCCACGCTCAACCCTGACTTGGCTTCGGAGATGCAGTTGTTTGAGTAGATGAGAGAAGGACCACATCACCGTAAGTGATGTCAAGGTTAACAAAAATCCAAGAGGATGTTCAAAGACGAACGGATGGAGTCGGACTTGAGATGACTTGGCCTACATAAGCTGTCGTGGAAGTGTAAGAGACTAATAAGAGTGGAAGAACCCGACGGAACGGAAGGATAAAAGAAACGTTCGGACCGGTGTTGGCAAGTCGCAACCTTCGCTAAAACATAGACCGATAAACATATTGGTACAGCGAATATATTTGGTAATTACCAAAAGGAATTTGACATTTAAAGCGTAGAAAGTCTTTGGAACCTACTTCTAAAAAAGATAATAAGAGCAAAATATATATAGCATATAGCGTATATTGCATATATATTGATTTATGATTTCTCCTTGTCCTTGTCTCTTTTGTTCCTGTTGGTTCTATGTTAGTTGAAAGAACTCATTTCTACACTTTGTTAGGCTAGAAAATGTTGCATTGGAAAGTTACTAGTAATGATGCCGTCGCTAATAGGGCTTAGTGTGCAATCTCACATATTAAGTTACAAATGACTCGAGGTTATATATTAAATAGATATACGAAATGTGATGATGCTGGTCTCCATAATAGTTATGTTATTGAAGAGGGAGCAGTGAAATTTAGCATTTTGCAGCATAGCCGCAGCAGCACGATTATGTGAGAGAGGTTATATGACCGCTCAGCGATATCATCGACGTAAATTGGAGGTAGGCTTAATTACATAATCAGCTTACAAGGTAAGGATACTTCTCAGACAATCGCCGGGGACAGGCGGCCATGCGACTTATGGGCAGGCGGGAACTGGAAAAATAGTACGCTGATTTCTTGCCGTCCGCTTGATTTTGGAAGAATGTTGGCCAATTTTTAAACAAATGCTCGGAAACCAATGGCGATTTTTCTATAGATTAGTTGGGGCACAGTGGCCGCAGTCTCGCGGGCTTTCTGCGAAAATATACAAAATTATTGGGGGCCGCACGGTCCTTTGTGGAGAACCGCACAGCCTGCAGGTACATTTCGCTGAGAAAAAGACCCCAAACTCAGGTAATTGAACCGTCGAAAACCGTTGAACCGTAAAACACCTTGCCACACCACCTCTGCACGGCGTACGTGCCCGAAACTGCGTAAAAAGAGTCCGAGCGCCTGCTGAAAGTTTGGCCCGCGCGCTGAAGGAGATTACTTGACGAGCGCTTGCAAAAAATTTTGTATTGCTGCCCGCTGGCAAAAGACGGAGGTATCGCTTGCTGAAGGTTTAGCACGCCCCAAAATTCTGCTGACCGCTTGCAGGAAAACGCGAATTTGCGAATCGCCTGCCCCGGCAATTATCTGAGTTGGTGACCGTGGTCTTTTGAAATGAAACGTACATCCTCAAATGCATATTGAAGCATTGATTCCAAATCTGTTTTTGGAATCTGCTGTGCTCTCTTTCGAAAAAGTTGCAAACATTTCTTGCCACCAAGATTTGCACTGTTTTGATGACACGATTCACCAACGTTTTTGGAATGTAAAAAGAGGGTCCAAAAGAAGTAAAGCTTTACGTCAAGTTCGGGAAAACTGTCTTGGATATGTGCGAGTTTGAAAAGTGTGTACTGTAGCTGACGATTCTGACTGCTTAGATCTCCTGGGATTAGCGTGGAAAAAAGTCCATAACTTTGTTCGGAGAGTGGCACGGCAGACAATGAACACAGATTTGGAATCAGCGTCTCAAGGAGCATCTACTAATGTACATTTCGCTTCAAAAGGCCACGGTCACCAAGTAGCTTTTCCTTGTTAGGGTCGCGTACATCAACACCCCATGGGTACGAGAACTAGTCGCATTTTCCAGATTTTTGTATGATTCCCTGATGATCCCCGGCTGCCGACCATCTTACCTTCACATCATAAGTTGTACTGTGCTAAGCATGTCTCTAATGAAAACAGATGATGTATCAAAGTCATCGAAGTGAAAATCGCAGTGAACCATAAGTCGAAAATCGGAGTTTATCGGAAATCTCAGTATTTTGATAAGTCATTTCTTCTTATCAACATGCTTAGCACTTTGGACTAGATAAACAGTACAACATTTGAGTGCTTTCATGACTAAGAAGAAATGAAATAACATTGAAGGTAAGAGAGTGGGCCGCCAGGGATCATATATCTCGCTCCTATTCAATATGTTCATAGTGGAGGACGTGGGAATACCTACGAATAGGTAGACATCGTGAAGTGCAGATATCTGGAGCTTCTGAATATGAAGTTTTCTTTTGAGCTGCGTTCTCCTACTTAGTGAGAAAGTAATACATGCGGCCCTTTACTTGATAAGAGGCAGTTTTGATAATGCAAAAGGGCTCGATATGAGGAGGGAGGACCATGTTTTTTGGGAACAGGTCATGACTTACAGTCGCGCTAAAATTCCAAAGCGTTGAGCTCCGCGACGATCATCGATCTAAAAGCCTGACCGTCTTTCTGCAGCAAAATATAACGAGTTATAAAACCAAACTGTTCAAAGTATGCGCATGTGGGACGACCGGCGTAGAGAGAAGCATAATTAGCTTTTTTCAATTTGGTTTTTTCTCCTTTCAAGTTTTTCTGCCTTCTTTTGCTCAACGTTGTTGTTTCAAAATCTTGGCCATCTAAGAAAGTTTTTTCTAAGGTTTCACCACTACTTCGTGCCTTGCCCTTGGTGCAAAAAATATCACTGCAACCATAAATTTTTTTTATACAGAAAACAGTTGAGCTTCATCCAAGCAAGACCACATTATGTTTCGTTGCTTGGAATGTTCGCCTGAAATTGGTTGCTGACAACTGTACCCCACCAAAGAATTTTATTTTGACAGAAGCATTCGCATCAAGTGTCACCACAGGAAATGCACCAGAGAGTTTGGTAATTTTCGTCTTCTTCAATTTCCGTGCATCACAACATTTTTTTTAGGGATGTTGGGTCAGCAAACACACCATGTTTTGTTTATGCCCTGAGACTAATTGCAACAATTTTCTCAACTGGAGGGTAGACGACATTTCTGCATTTTACCAGAGTCGCTGAAAAGAATTTTTTTCTCTAGCATTTTTTAACGACTGAACTTGACAATGGTAGTCTACGAAGTTTAAATGACGCACAATCCATTCACAGGGTGAGTTTTGGGATTGTATGCAAAAGCTTGGCTAAATTCGTATACAAACATGACAGTAATGAGTACATATAGGCTGCTGCATGACGAAGGCGCAATATCTTTGGGCGCAAACGCGGCTTTATTAGCCGCAGAGCGCATGAGACGCAGGATTCACAACGGTAAAGGTACGCGCGCGACGAGTTTGCGCCCGCTCAACTGACATCGCTTCTGCGCCTTCGTCATGCAGTAGCCTTTACAAAGATCTTCCCCTAGGGCCCGGCACAGATAGTTTGGGGTCAAACTGGACTTCGTTTTTGAAGTTCGAAGCAATAGAGATTTCGTTTCTATGGGAACGGCCATAGGTTGTCGGTGTTGTCGGTGTTGTCGATGTTGTCAGTGTTGTCGGTATTGTCGGTGTTGTCGGGGTCAGAGACAGTTTAGAGAGCGCGCGAAACGTGGAGGCTATCACCGGCACCCTCGGCAAGCCCGATAACACCGACAACCTATGGCCGTTTTCCCTATGAGGTCTTGAAGGAGCCTCGAGAAAAAAAAATCGACAAACATGTTAGGTTTTACGAGTCGAAACGCGTTATTTCGCAAGCGCGCCAATTTCAACCGTAAGACTCAAACAAACGTGTTCGTGTGCCGTGTGTGTGTGGCATGTGTGCCGTGTGTGCCGCGTGTGTGCGCTGTGTGTGTAGTACCGTGTGTGACGCGCATGCACACAACACGCACGCGGCACACACGGCACACACACGGCATACACAGCACACACACACGGCATACATACATGACACCCAACGACACACACAGCACACACACGGCACACAGGCACACATACACAGCACACACACGGCACACCCAACAATAGATTGTTACAGCGCATAAACAATCACATGACACCAAATTTGGGTTATGTTTATGCAATATTGCTTCAGACCATCGATGCGATAGGGGGAGCAGGATCCCCTCCGGGTAAGGGGGTTTCGGCTATCTCCAACTTAGAAGAGTGAAGGAGGTAACCGGGCCTTGAGATGAATGCTGACGTAAGCTTACGTGCCGAGCGAGACTGGAGTGTGCAAAGAAGGAGGATAAGTGGTACAGAGGTGGAATGTGAAAATTTTTTTCAATGCTCCGGTTTTGAAAGGTTATCGAACAGAAACTTTTTTGATTCAAGAAAGCTTTATATCTCATCAATTGGCAAACCCTTCGAAAGCTTGAAACATGTGAAATCGACGGAGACCGTCTCTTTTTTTCTAGCTTTTCTGTGAAGCTACGTACGAGCAGTTTTACCTACCTACAATATCAACCAATTCTGGGCAATCATTTCTTTAAACCAAGAAGGTTTTTTTCGAAGTTTTATGCATGATTCGAAAGCATGAGAAGCAAATTGTCTAACTGCTTTTTTATTTGTTTATTATTCTCTGAAAGGGGACAGTGGCGTAGTGGTATCAGGCGCTGCTTGACCAGATCGGACGCAGATTCGATTCCCGCCCCTGGGCCAACCAAGCATTCTATCTCCGGGGCCGGTAAATTGGTACCAGAGTAATCTGGGAGGATAAAAGCATTGACTTGAAAACGGCTGGCCCCCGCAAGTCACTGTAATAGGCTCGCACGCATACAGTTGCCTCTTCGACCATAAGGTTAGTGGGTGCAGTCGGCACATGCCCTCAGAGTGTATTGAAGAGTCGAATCCTTTATCCTTTATTATTCTCTGAAAGGAGATATGGTACGATTCTTATCAGTAAACTTACATCCATCACACTGGCTAATCCAGATTTCTACTCTTGCTCAACTCTTTCTTGCGACAGTGTGTATTCATTGATACAATATTAATTATTCAAAGAAGCAGACATCCTTCAAAATTTTGATTATGTTTCGTTATCAACGCCACTTTGAGTGCGCAGAAAGTCTCGAGCATGCGTTTTTTCAACAGAACGCTGTTGCTTCGATACTCTCTTGCAGTCTTGATGTTTGACGAGAAGGGCATTTTCTTTCCAAACAAAAAGTGCCGTAACAGTTGTTTAATTCTGCCGTTTGCTGTGATTCTAGTCTCAACCTCAGGTGAAAGGGGTCAGCCGGATGCCAACCCTAAAGTGAAGGGGTCAGAGAAATTTCTCCAACTATCGCAACTATGCTTCAGACGTGTAAAAAATCTTGAAAACTTAAGTGTCGTATTATCCGTTCCCCAATTTATTGTTTTCCGGACCAAACCAACTGGATTGTTTCGGAGCATAAATATCGGAGAGTTCACATAAGTTTTGGACATTTTTGATTTGGACGACTAGTACGCTGGAAAATTCGTCATGCAGTGAAGAGAGCAAATAAAACTATTGCCACTCCTCCTTTTTGAGCCAAAATAATGTAGACCTGCCCACTGAGAATATGGCGCTCCGCGCATGCGGTGTCCTTTGAGCTATGGTGATTTCAACTAAGTTTATTGGTAAATTAGACTAGCGGGAGTCCGCTTCGCAACCATTCGCGCCGTTTTGCAGTCTGCGTCTCTTCATTCTATTTATCTCGCTGAGCCAGTGGCGATGCGGACGTGCTGCTCCACTTGGAAAGTTCGCCTACTTCGGGAAGACTTTAGGTTGCAAAAAACGCATAGCCAATGTTGAGGCTACAGGTTTGATTGGCCTAAGAGGTTATCAACATTCTAAACAGTAAAATAGTACTATGCTCAATAGCAGAGCCTTTAATCAACTCAAAGTATGTTTCTTTCCGCTTTTTGGTTACATTAGATACCTCAAAATACGATTTTTTTGTGTTATATTGACCGAATATGGGTTTCCCTTGAGAAATTGACGTGAAAAGGGACTTCGTAAAATTTCGAAGTCATATGGGATTTGGTTTTTACTCTCCAAACCAACGCGTGCCGAGCGCTGTCTCCCCCTACTTTTCTTCATGGAAATGCAATGACGAAGAGTGGTAGTTTCCATATCCATGTTTTAGTCAAAGAAAGACACTGTTGACACAGTTGACTACGTAAAGTAAGTTTGTTCTTTAAATCATGTCGGTGTGTAAATTAGACTGCGTCTCCAATTCTTTTAAAATTCTCTAAATGGCTAGATATGCATTACTCACGCAGCGCATTGATAACTCGTGCAACGCGACAGCGAAAACAAGTAAATAACGCCCTATCAGTTCTCCTCAAAGGCGTTTTGCAGACTCACCTATGTGAAGTCTGCTCAAGTTAACGTGAAAGATCAGTGACGAAAAGCGAATTTTGTTTTTTTGCAACGTTTGATACTTTGAAAGCACCTAGTGTTGAGTGCGTTGAACGTCCAGCTAATGCGACTCCACACTATCAGAAAAGTTTGCATGTTTGCATTCAATTCAGTCAGGGAGCTACCAACGAAAGTGACTGTCGATATTAACCGACTTTTTGCCATCCGCTTCCAAATCGGTACCTGACAGGGGTAAGGAAATTTCTGACTACTGCAACATCAGTCATGAAACTCTTTGGTTGTCTCAACTAATGTACAGACTTGAAGTTCAAGCCGCGGCCCGAAGCGGTATGCACGAAAACCCCTTCGTCACGATTGGCGGCTGGGAGGCGGGGCTTCCAGGCCTAACTGAGAGTAGGGAGTGACCAGGGAGCACGTTTACGAAAGAGACGAGACTGCGTCGCGGTTGAGAGATGTCTTCCAGCTTCCAATCTCGAATCAAAGGATAGGTGATCGTGTGATAACGAGTAACAACCACTCAGAAATCTTTTTCCTGTGTGATAGATACGGTTTACAAATTATGTGGAATGGTCTTGATACGTTCCTCTCGCTGCTGTATAGGCCATCTGATATGAATCTCCATCCAATATCTTTGCACTCTTTTTAAGAAGTATTATCAAGTTGAGGCAAACACTGCGTAAACGCATATGAACCTCGAGTGTTGCCTTTTGTTCCAAGTGACTGGTGAGATTTTTCCCTAGAGCCCGTAAAACGCGACTCAGCTCTGGCTGCATGTTTGCTGCGGAGTACCCATTGGAAAAAACATCGCGCGCAAAGCTTATCGCGATCGATGGGATCACTACTACCTTGATATGCCATGCCCACTCCCTGTGGAAATCATTGCAGATGTTGTCATATTGTGCGCATATGTAGATATTTTTATCAAATTTACTAAGCAAATTGCAGCAAAATGGGATTTTGCGCATAACATGCGCTGACAGAACTTCAACATATACACAGAGGAGGAGGATGATGTTTATGTATCATAAGGGTTTATGAGTGTTTTGATCAAAACTTCAAAAATGATGGCACGTTTTGTTTCAAAGCGGATGAAGCTGACGAGGTGAAGAAGTGGATAAGTCTGGCTTATGCTATTAGGTTGTCCAGAAAGTTTTGTCCTTTTTTACTACCGCTTACAAGAACTCAAGAACACCAATCCATAAACGACATAGTTACCATTTGATTCGGATTTTTATCCATTTCTTACAACTATATTTGCTCTCTGGTCTATTAGGTTGGCTAAAAAGTAAGTTCGTTTTGGCATACAAATCATCATAAAAAATTTGCCTGTTGTTTTCAATCTATGATGCTTTGGAAAAAAAAGCTTCCTCTATCACATATCAGATAATCAGGATTTTCTATCATCAGTAAAGACAGTTATGCCTCAACTAGACAATTTCCAAAAGCTCACTTCTTTGATTTCCTAAACTTCGTTGTCATGCTGTAATGGATGTAAAGAACAGCAGTTTGATGTTGGATACAGGGGAGTTTTCCCTCTTTAGTAAACAAGAAAAAGAACTGTGATCTGCCAGTTGGAAAATGTTTCACTAGGAAAACCAAATTTTCTCATTTTTGCGCATTATGAGAAAGTTGCGCTTTCTCGCTTCTTTGGGGATTTTTTTCCTTGGAAATGAAATTGTTTCACTAGGAAAACAAAATTCCCTCATTTTTGCGCATTATGAGAAAGTTGCGCTTTCTCCCTTCTTTGGGGATTTTTTTCCTTGGAAAACAAGTTTTACTCAAACAGAATATATGGTCCAATACCCAGTGAAGTGCTCTTTTCACAGATACCAAATATTGGACAAAAATTTGTCTACAACACTTGTAAGAGCTGAAAAAGCGACCGAACTTATTTATTAGCCAACCTAATACTTTGTCTTTGCAAGTTATCGCCATGATTTTTTGAGCAGCTCAGCAGTAACGCCAAACCTTTCCTGAATTTTGAGAATTTTCATCCTATTGTTTTAGAAGAGCGCTGGTATTTGCTATGTATATTAGATTACATATACCACGTTTACCAAACTCGTTATAATTATTTATTTAATAAAAACCACGTCTTTTTGATTGCGTTTACTAAGTAGAAGTACCGAAAATTTCAAAAACTGCTTTTTCAAAGCAAGTTAAACTTGGTTATGTTGCATAAGTAATTTTTGATAAAAATCATGCTTTAATTCGCAGAAACTTCAAAAGCTTTCGTATATTTGCTGCATTTGTGTGTTTCATGACTTTGCCAAATATCGAGACCTCCGAAGAAATAATTTTTTGAAACCAAAAACAGCAAATCAAAAAACTAAACATATCACCTTATAGTAGAGCAGTTGCTCTATTTGATGCATACTCAAACCTTTCCGAAGCTTCGGAATAAAAATTCTAAAAATTAGCCTAACTTTGAGCAGATAAAATTGACGGTCGAGAATTTTGGCAGAAGTATGCAAGGTTGTGCTTCAAAGATAAGTGCATAAGAAAGAGAAGGAAAAGCTGCATCGAATTCAAGTTGAAGCTTTAGGCCTTTGTTGCGATTGCTTTTATAGTGGTTTGAAAGAAACGGGCAAAACTTTCGAAACAACCAATATAAGCTCGTTTGCTTAGGAGATCAAGAAAATGCGAGCTAAGGACACTTTTCTTGTAAACGGCGCTAGGAAAAGGCGAATGCGCCATTTTCAACACAAATCGCTTTGCAAGGGAAGATGAGTTGAGGATGTAAAAAGTTCCAATAATTTTTCTTGTCACTAGCAGACCATAGCTGACTACAAAAGTAATCTAATTTATATTTGTGTTCTGCTGAAGTTTATTTCATCTAGAGTTGAAAATAGAGAAAGCTTTTGAAATAAATAGTTGTGCACATTTCGCTCATGTTAGTTGGGGTTACCTAGTAAGTTGCGCTCCACCATATTGAGAATAGAAGACGTTCAGATAATAGAAACATTGTAGTCTGTGCGTCGCAGACGGGCGCACTGGTTAACAAGGGGTGCGGGAAGTTCCTCACCCGAGCCATATTCTCGCACCTAAGTGATGTGCCTGCCAGGCACATCCGAGCTCGCTACATTTACGAGCTTCTCAGGAGACCAAGACATCGCAAGCCCCGCCCCCTTATTTAGTGTTCGCTCCAGTGGCCGTAGTCATCAACAAACCCCGAGGGTTAAACTAACCCTGGAGGGTTAGTTTAACCCTGGAAACCGTTTAACCCGTATTCATGAAACACAGGTTAGGCTTAACCCTGAGGGTTAAATCTAACCTTGAGGGTTAATTTTACCCCGAAAACGACTAACCCGTATTCATCAACGAACCGTGAGGGTTAAACTAACCCTGGAGGGTTAAACTTACGTGATTCATCAGGGTTAATTTAACCCGAGCTCAGAGCAAGGTTAACTCTACCCTAACACTTCATACAAACATTTACTCGCATCTAATAGTTTATGGAAAACGATCAACGAGTATTTTAGTATTCAATACTGGTTGTTGTTATAGTATTTAGCTTCGACTTCGTTTTATGTTCAAATTCGAAGTACATAAAACAGTGACTTCGCGAAAAAAAGAACTCAAGCTTTGGTCACAAATGAATGCGACGAGGAAAAATGGTTGCGCGTTCCACTTTGACAAGTGCTAAAACAGAAGAACCCCTTTATAATAACACGCATTGACCCCTAAAAAAGTAGCACAAGCCCGGTATAAAACGAACTGCGCAAAAGTAGAACTTACACGGCACAATTGAACACTTGAAAATAAACTCACGCTGTAAGATTGGATGCTGCACAAGTACGCTAGAGATGTATTATGAAAACTATGTATTATGAAAACTAGTGTTAGAAGCTTATTCGTTGACTATACTACTATAACAGTGAAAGTAGAAGTATAAAGTGAATTTAGCCCGTACTTAGGCATTCTGTGATGTGAGTTTGCACAGCGCACGCATAACTGACGCCTTAACCCTCCGGGGTTAGTTTAACCCTCAAGGTTGATGAATACGGCCACAGGTTCGTTGATCAATACGGGTAGATCGCGTTCCGTGGTAAACCCTAGCCTATGATTGATGAATACGGCCAATGAACCCTGAGGGTTAAACTAACCCTGAAGGTTAAGCTTAACCCTCAGGGTTCGTTGATGAATACGGCCACAGATGATGAAACCGGAATTTCAAAGAAACTTTCAAAATCGAAGTTCAGAAGTGAATTTGCTTCAATCAAGATCAGATTTCGGACTCAGGGGTTTTCGAGGTTGCTCTTTTCAGTAGTGTGGTTTGTTTGTGGCAAAGTCGACGTTCAGCACCGATGATGCTCAACCAAGATCAAAATTCGGATTTGGAGGTTTTCAATTTCCTGTTTCAATACAAGACCAACTTAGGTTTAAGGGTTCTCGAAAAAACATCCGTGGCATGGATTTATATAAAATTTAGTCCTACCAAAATCCAGTTAAATCAAAACAGATTGAAGCTAACTTTAAAATGGTACGTGTTAATTTATGTTTTCTTCTTTCAGTCGCTTGTGAGCGTCACATTTCGTGGCTTTTCCATGTAACTTACTGAGTCTTAAAATACTGAAAATTTCCTAAAAACCAGAACAAATTTAAATTTGAGTGTTTCCAAAATAATAAAGATGTTTTTCTCTATTGTTTGACACTACTCCGAGCTTTCCACGTCTATTATGAAGCTTTCTGGCATTGAGCCAGCCTCGATGACCTCAGTGACCTGTGCTATATCAGCTTCAAGAAATAGTTAGTTGGATCATTATAAGCGCTGTACCTCGACATATTCTTGAGAATGAAGTCAGGAGAAAAACACTACGGAACATATACGTGTTCCTGCATCTGGCACAATTCTATGAGAGTAATCCACATTTTCTTCTCCAAAAAATTGTCCAAAAAACAGATCCTATTGATATTGCACAAAACATACCGAAAAAGCGTACCGTTACCGAAAAAGAGACTTCGAGAACCCTTAAACCTAAGTTTTGGTCTTGTATTAAGATAGAAAACTGAAAACCTCCAAATCCAAATTTTGATCTTGGTTGAGCATCATCGGTGCTGAACGTCGACTTTGCAACAAACAAATCACACTACTGAAAAAAGCAACCTCGAAAACCCTCAAATCCGAAATTTGATCTTGATTGAAGCATCACTTCTGAACTTACAAGGGAAAGATACTAACTTAGACTCGCCTTCTGAAATAAGACACAAATATTTGGAATCAGCTTGGAACGCAGATTCCAGATTATTCTAAAGTGAGTTATGGTCTCTTTTCAATGCAAAGTTTGCGTACTCCTCAACCTACTGATGCTACGGTATTGACGTCTGGATGGTTTTGTAATTGTATGATGTACCCTTTCAAGATCGAAAGAATAAACCTGATGCTAGTTCAACATCCTAGACTTTCCTCGAGCACATTTTTAATCTACACGCTGTTTTACGACATTCAGAAGTTTGTTAATTACTCAAAACAGCAAGCCCATAACTCATCCTGGAAAAACGCTAAGCAGCTAGGAACAGCATATTTCAAGCTGATTCCAAATATACTTGTCTCATCTCAAAATGCGGATCTAAGTTAATATCCTTCCCTTGTTAGATTTTGGAAGTTTCTTTGAAATTCCGGTTTCATCATCTGGAGCGAACACTAAATGAGGGGGCGGGGCTTGCGATGTCTTGATCTCCTGAGAAGCTCGTAAATGTAGCGAGCTCGAATGTGCCTCAGGCACATCACTTAGGTGCGAGAATATGGCTCGGGTGAGAAACTTCCGCCCCCGTTAACAAGTGATACAGAAGACGGTCAAGAACAATCATCAAGTCACGAAGTTTGCAATCGACCCCGACGGCGCTTTGGGAATACTGCTTAGGGAATGCCCAGAAATCTAATTGAACGTACAGTCAAGTAGAATTTCTACTTAATATAGTGTGCTTGCACTGCAGATGAATTGAGGTAAGATTTGCGCGTGAGAAATAGCTACGCCTGTGACGCCTTCCATTTGCGCGAGCAGACTGCCGGCTTTAATGGCGTGGCACTAAATTTTTATGCGCTTTTATCGCATTTCACCTAAAGTGCAAGCACACTATATTAAGCAGAAAACTTACTCGACTGTATGTCCGGTACAGGCATGGGTCTATCCCGTTACCGTCGGCTAAACCAATTAGGGCCGCTCGGCCAGTGCTGAATGCCCTGTTATTGCATAAATGCGCAGTTTTTGTAAACCTGGCTTTGCCACTTGTGTGCGCTTTTGTTTTCATGCTGTCATTAGTTGGTAATTTGGACAGAGTGCTTTTGATCCGTAGGCATGAGCAAGCGAATCAAAGAAAGCGTTGCGTGCTGCGATGGATGACTTTCTGTGCATAAGTTGAGCCAAAATAGGCAATCGCTGATCTTGCATGCGTGGTAAAAATCATAATAATAACCTAGGAGATTTTTGGCAAAACAGAGATGGTGTCCTTGAACACAATTGAGGAGAAGAATGACATCGTTGCTTGCTTGCTGAAGAGGTATCTCAACACTTACGCGAGTAAGTAAGGAGAGAATAAGGATGTACTGGACGGACTTTGCATTTACAGTGCCTCCAAAACTGCGAAGGCTGAGACATGTGAGAGAAGCTGTAAGTTAACGAATTTTGTAATTTAGGCCATTCATCGCAACAAAGACAGGGCGTCACTACAAGCACTGTCGGCGTCTCGCTGGTCAAGCTTTTGACTCTCTCGGCGTCCGCTATCTCTAGCATGCGCAGATTACCTTAGTTGCGCGCAGCGGCATCTAATCTTTGTGTGCGATGAATCGCTTATATCATGTTGCCCATAAGTTTGACTTTGACCCGCAATGACTCATACATTTCTTATTTCTAGATAGGATTTAGAATACCATTCAATAGAGCAGAGCAAGTTCTACAAAATGGCGCTTTTGCTCTTGCATCAGCTCCAGTCCCACCGCGAGTTTAAAGCTAGGAACGCTGCTTTAGTTGCCCGAAAAAAAGCTTTAGTTGCCAGAAAAAACAAGAAGAAATCTAACACCTGCAAAAAACTCCTACAAAAAAAAACTTGCTCACGTATGCACTCTCCACATGTGACATTTATATGCACATACAATACCGCTCTCAGAACGTGCAAAATTTCCGTGAATGTCGCGGAAATCCCGGAATTCCGCGACATTCACGGAAATTTTGCACGTTCTGAGAGCGGTATTGTAGCTGTAGTTCTTCCTTGGCTAGAATTTGAGAAAACTAGAATTTTTATGCTCTTGTTAGAGTGATGCTGTAATGTTCCCGCATGAGTACATAATTGTGTACTACAAGCCTTAAGAAGTATAAACGCGAGTTTTCAGCTTTCTTCAAGCTTTGGTTCTCGAGAAATATCACAATTATAGAGATAAGTCAAGCTACCCTTTGCGTGCCTCCAACGTTGAAATCCATATTTCTCGGGAACTTAGGCTTCTAGAAAGCTATTGACGTTTGTATTTCTGAGGGCTTGTAGTGTACAATTACTCATATGGAAACAGTACAGCATCAGTTCGGCAAGATCATAATAATTCTAGTTTTCTCAGATTCTAGCCAAAAAAATACAGCAGTGGTATCTACAAAAGTCTTATGTGAAAAGTGCACGCGTAAGCAAACTAGGACTTTTATAGGACTTTCTGGACGGTGTTTTCTTGATTTTTTGGGCAATTGAATATTTTTGGCTATTGGCTTCAAACTCGCGGTGGACTGAAGCTGTTGCAAAAGCAAGAGTACCATCTTGTAGACCTTGCTTTGCTATATCGAATGGTACTTTGAATCTATCTAGAAATGAGTAAGTATGAGCTATTGCATTTCAAAGTCAAAACGGACGGAACTTATAGGAAAACTAATATTCACATCAAAGTCATGTTAAGGCTAAAAATGATATCAATTGGATCCTTGTGTTAGCACTATTTGCTGGCTTGATTGCTGTCAAGTTATTGATGGGTTGCTATTACTACTACTTGTGGAACAGGTACACATTGAGATTTAGCAGCTCCAGAAAAGTTTTTCAATGTGTTTGCTTGGTGATAAGCCACCTCAAACGTGTTATTATCGAGCAAACTCCACCTCACGACATTCGCGAGATCGTTTCTCATCAAGTCACCTGAGTCGTTTTACTCATAGTCTCAAGCTTTGACATAAATGATTGCTAACCCGACTCAGCAGCAGTGTAGCAGATGTTATTTGATAGCTTGTTCGAACTTGCATCCTTTTGGAACAAAGTTACGATTGTCAAAAGAAATATACCCTTTTTTCCTACTTGTCCAAAACAGTACGCTAAGCTTTCCACACATATTGGAGAATGGTAGTGCCGCTGTTGCATTATTAAGCTCAACTTTTTTACCTTTGAGCTAAGGCGCATGAGACCTTTCACCTGCAATTGCAACGAAAAATCATCACAAAAAATTAAACTGAACAACTATCTTGCTAAAGGATATTCGTTGACGACTGCCTCAACTAGTGCAATCACACCACCGTAGGCGTGCTTTTTTGGAGCCTTTCCATCTTGACAGTAGGACAGGGAAATGTTGCAGCCAATAGCTGATATCGACCTCGCATATTGTGGTTAGCTTAAATTTCTTAAGGGTTTTTTTCACTAAAAGCAACGCAATTAGATCATAATTACTAAACACTGCATTGTTATGCTGTTTGAGTGCAATTTCTAAACTTAATGACAGTTAATATGTTTCAGTTATCGCTCAGGCGTTTACTCAACGTTATTCCAAAATACCGAGTCCAATATTCGGTAGCTTCGATCAACTAATTTACCGGTTAATGAATATGTACCTTGTTCTTCCTTTTAGCGAAATTGTATTTGTGCTTATTCTTTGAGCAAAGAAGTACTTGTGCTTATGCTATTTTTATAAATGATGAGATCAGGTTACAAAACTTGTGCCTATGAAATCCATTTCACATATCTTGATTAATATGTCAACATCCATCTCGCACACTAATATCTATTCTTGTGCCAAAAAATCGCCATTCCTTTTCTGTATGTTTGCCATCCACCTAAGTACTGTGCAACTAATATTGGAAAGTTTCTGTATGAAAAAATGATTATTGTCCAGATGTAAAGTAAAGTACTGCATATATTATAATTCACTAGTGCAGTGATGAATGCAAAACGACACAAGACTTTACAGCTCCTATGTACTGTAAAACACACACTAGCCACCATATTCATTCAGGTGCCAATTTTTCCACTCAATGATTGATTAAGCTAAAACATTGTCTATAATACGCTAAGCTTCCGAAAAAGGAATGGTTTCGAGAAACGCGATTGATTCTGTTGAGTCGTATGGAATGTTCTCGACTGGCTTGAGAAATCATGTGAAAAGCAGTTTTAGCTCAGCCTCAGTCCATGAAATATATGCAAAATTAGTTTCTCTGCTCAAACTCTGCAATCGAAAGAGTGTTACAAGAAGCCTGACAAACCTGAGATCTATACAAAGTAAGCCCAACAGAAGTCAGAAAGACAAAATATACAGAGGTGCGTTGTAGCCGATCCAAATAAGCAATTATTATTTACCAGAGTGGGAATAGCAGCAAAATAGGCTTAGCCATTCGAAGGCCGCGGCATTGGTTAGAGTAATTTGCACATTGGCCGAGTACCAATGGGCCCATGTAAGACGATAGTCGCGAAACTTAGCAGCAATTGGTCCATACTGCGCGACTCCGGATGCGTGCCGTATTTCAAACCTATCATGAGAACACGTCGAATAAATGTAAATATAAGTTAAAAACAGTTTTATGTAGCTACCATTCTCTTCCCTTTTCATAGTCGTGCTTTTGAGCTACTTGCTCTTGTGGTACAGAAATAATGGCCGTAATTTTGAATCCATGGTTTTTACCATATCTACCTTTCGCATTTTTGGAATGCCATTCGCCCTCCAAGCATTGAGAATAGATGGATATGGCACATAATACGCATTATGTGAAGTGTAAGCCTCGCTTTCAAAATTTGTATTATTATAGTTTACCAAAGTTTTCACTTCAGCGGAGTCGTAAAAGACTTACGCTTCACATTGATAACGCTTCGGAATTCAAAAGTCCAAGAAATATCGTAATTGCGTACTGTTTTTAAAGGGCAAATGAGCTTTTAGCCCTTTGCATTTCAAAATTTCTCCAGGTACAGCGCGGAACGCATTCAAACACATGAATTTTGATGATTTTGTCGCCGGAGATTGCACAAATCGGGAACTCAAAAAACCTATCAAAAGGGGAAAGAAAAGCTGCATTGAACACCCAATGCTCGTTGGTTGCTGTTCTATAAAATCTGGTTTGAGCAAGTGTGGAGTTGGATAGCATCAAAAAAAATAATTTGTAAAAATGATTATTCCTATATTTATGCATATCTTCGCCTATCTCTGCTTCAAATGTTTTTATAATGGGGCAGGGACACTTGGTTCGAACTAATATATCCACGTACAATAAAACTGAGCAAGCAGTGGGTTTATGGAGGAAGCGAATTCTCTAGGAAGTGTTGAGCGTTTTCATCAAAAGTTAATTGTAGTGTTTTCGAAGATTTCGAGCACGCCAATGAGTTTCGCACTGATGTTTGATAGCGCTTCAAAATTTTCAGACTATATAGTGTAGACATAATAAAAACCTTCCTATGAGTTTCGAGCAGTCGGAGCTTTCAACTCGGAACTTACGCCGCCCAATAACCATGGAACAATTCCATTTAGCTTTGAAAACAGAAGTCGGCCAATTCTACGTGATCTGTAACGGTCGTATAGGTCAGCGTTTTTAACAGGTTGCTGCAAATATAATATCCGTTTTGCAAAGTTTTACTTGCTATAACTTTTCAGTCTTCGTATTTTTGGATGTAATCAAGACCATCAGAAGCAGCAAATCTTTCGTATTCCAACGCGTACCTGCATATACCGATATCGCAAACGGGAAAAAACCATGCGTCAAAAAAGCGAAAGTTTTTCTTCTGAGAACCTCGCCTTTGAGAGATTACAACTCCCTTCAAGTTTTGTTCCTAAGGCTGCTTATTAGCCTATCTTGTAGGCGCAAGCCAGTAGTATACTTTTCTATAGAAAAACTTCAACAAAGGAGACCTGCGAAAAGAAAAGATACAAATCCAAAACTTTCACTTTTTGAGCCTGGTTGTGGTAAGCCAAAAGGCACCAACTATGAAAATTTGGAATTCTTCATGCACTAAATATCTTAGTGCTTCTGCAAAAATTGTACGCAAGATTTCCTAACCTCAAGCATATGGAAATGATCCAAGCTTTAGCCTCATAGGGAAAATTTTAACCCATAGAATGCCATGCATCGAATGACTTTCGAGGCGTCCATTTCTCAGTCCAAGTGTGTTCGAAAAATTATTTAAACGTGCAATAGGTAAACAACATTCCCGTACAGAAGCTATGTTTTCAAAGAATTCGTTCATTTGCGCCTGAAATGTGGCCAAGGAAGCTGAAACAACGAATTTTCGATTTTGAGTGCCGCTGTGCGAGATGTTGGTGAATTCTCACAGATAAGATAGAAGCTTGATTTCACGACTGTTAGAAAGTACACGAGGAAAGCTTTCCAATGATGTGCAGGATATATGTCGAAAAAGAAGTTCCTCAGAAAAAAAAAGTTGTTCGGGATGTAGGCCCAAAAAAACGGGTATTATTTTTGCAACAGACTAATAACTACAGCTGAAGCCTACTGGAAGGCGGAGCAGCTAAATATGTCGAAGAGCAACGGCAACTTGCGGCTTATCAGCTAGTCTGCCATCGTCAGAATTCCTTATAAGTTTAAATTAAATTTTTAAAAATTTTCAAAAATCGTATATTTATTCACAAGTATAAACAAGTCGTTTGCACATTTTCATAACTCTTACAATCAACGTTCAAAGTGCATACACACGCACATATACATACCCATACACATAGAACATATATATACACATACACATACACATACAGACGTATGCCCATGGGCCTTATGCATAAGACGATTTCGATGTGCTCGACCCCAAGTTGAAAGCGCCTTCCTGCGTTACCACGCTGGGCGCAATACCCATCTTTGTTTACCCGGCAAGTGACGCTCATGACGTGCTCGTCTTAGGCGTAGGAGGGTTAGCGCTTCCTACACTTGCGACATCCATCCATTGAATTCATGCAGCGGCCGTGATTAGAGGGCAGCCGCCATATAAATTACTGCCGAAACAACACGCGAGTATGTGTCGTATGTTTTACGTAAATGTGAATCGCCACCAGCAGCAGAGGGAATTGCTACAGGAGCATGTATCATTCCTTCCTCGTTTTTGTAAATGTTCCCTCACAGGCCATAATCCAGTCAAATATGGGAGCCCACGCCCATAATGCACAAACGTAGGCGTCTGACCGTGCAAGAGTGCATCAGGCGAAATTGAATAGGTCTGCAACACCTGGACCACCTATTAGATCTCGCTTGAATAAGTAAGCGTAGGATTCCTTCGTACTACGCCGCAGAACCGCAGGACGCAGCAGCCTGTCGCAGTGGAAACATAAGCTCGCTCGCTGTGAAGGAGCACTCTCGGAGAACACAACGTGCAGCAAATACAGATCTAAGGGTGTTAGGGGGCTAAGGGTGTTACGGGCTAAGGGTGTTTACGTGTGTGTGTGTGTGTGTGTGTGTGTGTGTGTGTGTGTGTGTGTGTGTGTGTGTGTGTGTGTGTGTGTGTGTGTGTGTGTGTGTGTGTGTGTGTGTGTGTGTGTTGGTGTGTGTGTGTGTTGGTGTGTGTGTGTGTGTGTTGGTGTGTGTGTGTGTGTGTGTGTGTGTGTGTGTGTGTGTGTGTGTGTGTCTGTGTCTGTTACGAAGTTCGTAGAGCAGATTCCAACCAACGTCCTGAGCTCAAATTTTGCATAGCGCATGCTACTGGCGCGAAAGTCCAACATGCAAAAGCACAGGCAGATTCGTTGCGTGGATCGCTCAGAAATTGCGCGTCAATCGGATTCACTTTGCTTCTAGCCCGCAAAAGTGAGTCCGTAATTCCACTTTTTGTAGAGTCGCGAATGTGTATGGCAAGTAAATGTGCAAGTCATGAATATAGGCCCAAAAAGTGATCAAAAGTCCACTCTTTAAAAAAAGGCGCCAAAAGGAGTTGATTACATAAATGGTCAATTTGCCGAGGTTTTACCAGAGCATTTGACGAGATTTTTGCACAAAAATGTAGCTCATGGTGATTATTGTTCATAGGGCGACTACCAGAACCATGAAAGACCCAAAAACCAATTCAAATTTGCGTTCGTTCTTCTGCAAAAAGTATCCTCTACAGAAATCACTGATTTCACATAAAAAGCTTCCAGAATGAGTAGTTGTATACAATTCATTCGCGATAGTCGGCATTGCGCGGTGAGTTTCAGTGTCATTATTGCTGGAATGAGTAAGGCATACAGATAGTAGAACCAGTGCGAGCCTCTGCGAAGCAGGGGTTACGCACTGATACATCTATAACGGCGAAGCTGTGCTGCCATAAGCGTAATCTCACTACGACTGCTCGGCGCATGCTGCAGGATGAGGCATGCGGCGGCGTGCTGCGTCCTGCGGCGTGCTCCGCAGCACGTTGCGTCCTGCGGCGTAGTATGAAGGAAAGGAACCCGTAGCGCCGAGGGTTTGCAGAGTGGTAAAAACACCGATCCGGATTGACATATTTATCTATCACAGCACTATTAAGATGTACAGCACCGAAGGCATTTGAGCAATACCAACGCACCAATAGACAGTCATAACAAGTTGCTGGATCATAAAAAAGAGATCAGTGTAGGCACTAGTGACGGCGGCGGCCCAAAGAGGATGAAAGCAGAGGTGACATGAACGTCCCACTCGGTGACTCGGCATCGGAGAATCTCCTCGAGAGCATCGCTTGACCGTCGCCGTCACGCCCTGAACATATGAGTCAGCGTCTAGCAAAGAAGCATGCGTAGACATGCTTACAATCATAAGTTGTATGGATCAGCACATCTCTTTGAAAGGTTGTCGAGCACGAGTTAATCTTA